ATAAAAACTCCAACAAGTTCAGGCCCAATATATATTATTTTATTTAATTTAATATTATAATTTGTTGTCAATAATTTTCTAATATTTAAAACATACCTTTAGCAATAAATAATATATGTGACACATGACTACGACGACATTACTCAAAGATTGATGATTTCACTTCCGTTGCTATAATCAGTTATTTGATAATTAAAAAACTTGTACTGTTTTGCCTTAATAAAGTAAATACACAAAAATGGAATCTCTAAGATACCTAATAATGGGTCTAGTATTTTGACCCACTATTTTAAATCCTTTTAATACATCAATTTTTTGCTAAAAAAGATACATTTTTCATCAAGCATATACTTTAGTTGTTAAATATATATTTTTACATTAAAAGATTCACATATATTTGTATTCCATTTTAACAAAAGTTCTCAATCTTCTTTATGTAAAACAAATATTAATTAATTAATCAATTATATTTATGCCATATAAAATCTGAACGTGAAACTAAACATTTTGAGATTTTAAAGTTAAATAATTTTTATATTTATACTATAAAAATCAGCTAAAAAATAAATTTCACCCGAACTTTTATATTTATACTATAAAATTTAAATATGACAGTGACTTTATAAAACAAGTTATAAACACTATAAATTAGCAACTTAACTTAATAAATCATATTAATATAATGAATCAATTTCAGATACCTTTCCCAATTTTTAAGAGACCTCCCATGGTAATGATGTTTGGCATGTGAGTGAAATAAATTATAGTTTTTTGGGGCAGGTGCTATGATTGAACCATATAGGCAATCACCAAATTTCCCCTACCTTGCTAAGTATTAAAGTCATCATCAAGATATCATTTCTAATTGTTATTTTTAAAAATCAAAATTTTATTGGATTAGAAGTTAATTATTTAAATTTACGCTAGTTTGCAATATTATGAGTCATATAAAATTGTTGGACTTTAGATATATGTATCGGGAGTATTCAGATACGTCTAAGTATATGTATTTTAAATACATCAAAATTATGCGTAATTTATTCTATATATGTTATATTTACGTAGTTCACATATAATTGAATCTCTCGCTTGCCTCTCTCCTCGCTCGTCTCTCCCTATTTTAGTGTATTTGATGAGAAAAATGTTTGTATTTAGGTGTATTTCACTTGAATTCTGAAATGAAATTATTAATTAGTGAGACAATATATAATTATTTAGTTTAAATTATAGAAGAATAATAAACATGTTCTTTTAACTTAGCTTCAATTGATATTTATGAGTTTTAATTTCGGTGTATATGAGTAAAAATTTAAATTTGTATAAAGTTAAATAAGTACACACATATGTCCTACGTGATAATTTGTTGAGATACACTCAAACTGATTTGTATTATGTCATGTAGAATAAATATATATATATTTACTTGTTGGTGCATGTATTATAAATGGTGTTAGCTAATACTTAACAGATATTCCAAAGGTGATGAAAATGTCATGTTTAATTTTATACAAATTTAAATCTAAGTTAGCTAGTGCTTCGATTATGAATTATTTGATTGTTATTGAAAACGGATAACTCAATACAAATAATAATAAAAATAAAACATCATATCATTTTAAATGCGTAACAACACATTCTGTTGTGATCTTAAGTTTATGCATTAATTACTTGCCAAATCAAAATTACAAGACATAATCTGACTTTCCTAGAGAGTGTAAAACTTCAAATACTAACAAAGGGAAAACTAGTAATCCAAATTATTAATTGATTAAGAGCTTATTTGGATTGATTTATTATAACTAATAAAATAATCTTTTTTAATAAAGTACTAATTAAATTATTAGTAAAATCAAGAATTTTATTAAGGAAATATACAAGGATAAAAGATGATTATAGTAACATTTACACACCTAAATAAGTTAAAGTGAACCAAAAAAACTTATGAAAAGATGATTTAATTGAAGATGTAATAAATTTACGCAAAAAAATAACTCCGATAAAAAATAAAAAAAGCAATGATGTAGGCATGTAGTCGAATGACAATTTCCTTTAACGGGTTAAAAAAAACAGGTCATATGATTGACCCATCCAGGCAATCACCTAACTAATCCCTACTTATTATTAAACTCATTATTCAATATAAATATTAAATTATTTAAAAATAATGTTAATTTTTTTAATGATAAAGTTACTTGAGTAATTTTAGATGATAAAAATCCTAATAAGTGTAAGGGATTATATTGTTACAAAATAAAATTTAATAATGTTACTCAATAAACTCTCGTAATTAACTGAACTTTCAAGCTCTCATCTACGATAAATTTATTAGATTAAGTTAAATTTAGTTGTATAATATACTCTATGATATGTAAAATTTGTTTTTTGAGACACAACACAACTGTATTTCTTTATCTTTATTCCATCTTGAATTATTTGATTCTTGTTGAAATGGACAACTCAAAGACATATAGTTGTGTAATTCTTGTCCCATATCATCATTCACTTGACAATGTCCAAGAGGCACCAACAAATATTGCAGAGCAGGAATGAATTACATTTGTTGTTTGTATTTTACTCTGAGTCCATCTACATTAATGTTTGATTATAAATTTTAGAAAAAATATTTAATTATTTAAAAATATATATGATTTATATCTATATATTCTAGAATTTTTTTTCTTTTTTTCAAAAAGTTTTTATTGTCATTTTATAATAAACACGTGTCGTTATAAAATTACCTTAATTATAACATACTAACAATCATGAACAACAAAATAATAATATGGACAATAGCTATACATCAATCACAAACATAAACTTATCACTGATTCAAAATTAATTATAATCCATTAAAAATAAAATTATTCTTTTCTGGCGTATAGATAGCGATAGCAGAGAAGAGAAGCTATTAGTTTTTTTTTTGGATCTTCACCGATTTTCAAAGTCCATATTGAATCACTCTCAACAAAATTTTTTTCATAGCTATTAGTTATTAATGGAGCGATTTGGTGGATAAATATTAGTTGAAATTAATAAATGATGAATTTTATTTTTTATGTAATATAAATAAATTTAGGTTAATTTTGTAAAATTTCCCAAATATTAGTACTTTGCCCAATTTGGATATTTGGGAATATATTTGTTACTTAGTGTCAAATTGTATGACTAAACATCATTTTTCAATATATTTATGTTCAAATGGGTGGTAAACATCATTTTTCAAGTTTTTTTCAAATATATTTATGTCCAAATGGATGGTAAACATCACCACTTATCTCCGATCTTAATATTATGGGTTCAAATAGTGACATATTCAAAATTTTCATTAAGATCTAAAGAGATTCAAAAAATAAAAATACAGTTTATAAAATTTATACTTACAATCTCAAAATATTAAATTCCCATAACCACTCACATAACCCTTTTATAGGGTAAAGTTAGTTAGAATACGCATGTTGATAAGTTAATCTCCAGTTTTATATTTAAAAAATTTCATATCTATACAATATAACTTCTTAACATAATAACTCTTTAGATCCACCTCAAAATTCAAGTAAAAATATATTGAAAGCGCCAAAGTAGAAGCAAAGAAAAAGAGAACGTCTCCAACTCAAGTGTTAGGAGCAAAGAAAATATATGACTTCCACCTTAAATGTACCTTACATGTTGCAAACTCTGATAGAGTCCAATGCTAATATTAATTATCGAAATATACGTTACATTCTAATATCAAATATCGAATAAAATTAAAAATTAAAAAAAAAATTAAGAGAATTGGCATGATAAACGTGGGCCATATATATAAATGAAGAAAGAATATTGCGTGTGTTATGACGATTGAAAAGAGCCGTAGCTACCGTTGCCACCGCCCAAAGCCGCCCCACTTTTTTAAAAGCTCACCAACCAAATTTTAATTTTAAAAAATTATACTATTCCACTTTATTTATTTATTTTATTTTACACATTTTGGGACCAAGCATACAGTGTGTAGATGCTGACTAATATTTACTCATTTATGATATTTAAAGTTTGAGCTACCTTTTATTTTATGTAGTATTTTTTAATTTTATATATTATTTTTTTTAAAAAAAGATGTTTTTCTAAATAATGATAGAAGATAATTTTAAAATATTTATATGTCTAAAAATCATTTTATTAAGGGCAGAATTTATTTTTTAAGTTAAATTATTTTACTAATTTATCCTAATCAAAGAAAAATTAATTAGTAATTCTTAATTAAATAAACAAAGATAAAATTGAAATAATAAAAAATTGAATCCTTCTTGAAATTCTAAAATACCACTTTTATATATTGTAAAATGAAGGGAGAATAAATTGCATGAATAAAATAATATTAATAAATCACTATTTTAAGAATGGTTTATTTCATTAATTTCAACGGTACATTTTATTTTTGAGCATACTTTATTAGTCCATTGTCTACTTATGTCAACGCAACCTTCTTTTTTTCAGTGACTTTCTTATTAACGTTTATAAGATGGAAAGTTGTGCAAGTTCGAAGTTTCATAAATATGTTATATTTTAATTCAAAAAAATATATATATATATACAAAATATATTTTTATGCTGTGAATTAAAATTAGTAACTAATACAAAATTAAAAAAGAATTGAATAGATGCGCAGTTATTAGAATCAAACTTTTGGTTCATTATACACAACGCCATCTTCCAAAATTTCCAAATCCCAAGGTTGATCTCGTCATTTACTCGGTTTCTCTCCGTAAGTTTAATTTATAAATATGTCCTTTTAATTTAGTTTAAGATAATTTTATGTCTTTAATTTTGAACCTACATAAATAAGCATTCAAGTTTGTATAAAATTGATCAAATTAACACATATATTATACATGACATAATATACGTAAAATATCTTGAATATGCTAATTGCCACAGAGGGGGTCTCGAGTATGATATATCTACTTAATCAATTTAGTATGAATATGAACGTGTATATGTTTACGTAAAAAAAATTAGAGAACATAAAGTCGAAACATAAAATTGGACGGACGTTACTCCTAGCTGCGCCAACTTTTTGTCTCTTTCTTGTCCTTTTTACCCTTGCTTCCCTGTTCTTCTTCTCCTATACTATTTCACACTTTTAGCTCCTCATACAACAGTAGGTATAATCACAGCTAAGCGTATCAAGAGCCAAATTTTTTTACAGAGAGATCTAACTGCGAAAATGGGTTGATCTAGAAAAACCCAAATCAAGTAATTAAGGAGTTATTGTTCATTTTTGCGGCTGATAATCCCAGTTTTGATTTCATTTTCTTGGTAATTTGGATTTTCCTCCATGATCATCTCAGTTGTTTTTTGTTGCTAAAATCTGTTCAGTTCAAGTTTTTATCAACTTTTAGTCAACCCCTTTATGGATTTTTAGTTAATTCTTGTTCAATCTATGGTTTTTGACTTTTGCTTCTGGATTAAGTAACTAGTTAACCTAATGTTTTCCCACTTTGTTTGATTCAGTGATCTGCAAAGTTTGCTAAGTTTTCATGTTAAAAGAGACCCTTTTGATTAGAGTACAGTTTTATATGTTAAATTTTGTTTGAACTACACCAAATTTTCATTTCATTTTAAACTGTGTTGTTTTGTTCCTTATTCCTTTTTTTCTTCTTCTTGCTGTTATCTGCAGGGACTACTAGAACAAGATTTGGAAATTTCATCAGTGAGCATTGAATTGGGTGTCTCAAAGTTGTAGTATATTTGTTTTGGAAAGCCATATTTTTTTCCTTGGCTTACATTTGCTGAGTTTGGAGGGAATTTGAGGAGAATTTGTATAATTTGTTATATTAACTTGGGAAGATGGCTGCTTTGTCGCATCAAGATTCTCGACGTATGTACTCATGGTGGTGGGATAGTCATATCAGCCCCAAAAACTCAAGATGGCTTCAGGAGAATCTCACAGGTACTGCTGTTTCCTTTCTTTGGTTGTGTACAACTCTTGCATTGTTTGGTTATGCTAGAGTTATCTTAGGAGATATCTAAGTTTTCATCAACGGAAAAATTAACTATTCTAGCTCGACCTTCGTTTCCTTTTAACTGGAGCTTACGTAGCGTGAAGCATTGGTTTCCTTCCCATGTACCATATGAATTCATGATTGTCTAAATTGTTGTGGAAATGATTGAGGTGAGCTCTTGGTGATTTAGATCAGATGTAGTACTCCTTTTATTTATGTAAGTTTGCGCATCAGATTGCAGAAATGGTAACATCATGTCACCAGTAAAAAGACTTGCATAAATAGTGATATCTGTTATTCACGAAGTGGAGTTTTTGTTTGATTCGTAATATGCTCTAGATGGCCTTAAAACCTCAACGACTTTGTGCATTTTCAGTTTATAAATTTTGAATGTAACATTTCTTGAAATGATTCAGCAACCATTAAAATGTGGATTCTCTTTTTCCTCTTAAGTAGTTCTTTCTTATACGGTGTTTTTGAATTACTGCTAATACAACTGTTGTTCACTTTGCTAGATATGGATGTCAAGGTTAAAGGAATGATCAAACTCATTAATGAAGATGCTGATTCTTTTGCAAGGAGAGCAGAGATGTACTATAAAAAACGTCCAGAGTTGATGAAATTTGTAGAAGAATTCTATAGAGCATACCGTGCATTGGCTGAAAGATATGATCACGCAACCGGTGTGATCCGGCACGCCCACCGGACCATGACAGATTTAGGACTTGGAGATGATTCACCTGCAGGTTCTGATCCTCAAACACCAGAGCTATCGCCAATGCTTAGTCTTTTTGACCTTGAAGAGCTGCAGAAAGATGCTCTTGGAGTCGCTGCATCTAATACTCATGATCTCAAGAGCAATGGAGGATTCACAGATGAGTCACACTCAGGGATGAAAAGAAAAGTATTCAAGCAGCGCAATAATTTGTTTGGAGACCAGGGAAGGTTTGCTGACGGAAGGGTTAGGAAGGGTCTGAATTTTAGTGAGGCAGACGAGAAAGTAGTGCAGACCAATGAGAGCAACAGTTTGCAAACTCGAGCACTTCAAGATTCAGAGCGCATGGTTGAATCTGAGGAGATTCTGAAGTTAAAGAAAGCACTTGCCCAAGTGGAAGCTGAGAAAGAAGCAGGCCTTATCCAATACCAACAGACATTGGAGAAATTATCTCACCTGGAGTCAGAAGTGTCCCGTGCCAGAGAAGATTCCCGAGGATTTGGTGAACGAGCAAGCAAAGCTGAAGTTGAAGCCCAGACTTTAAGGGATGCACTTTCTGCATTGGGAGCTGAAAAAGATGCTAATCTTAAGTTGTATCAGAAGTCCTTAGAAATGATTTCTGAGTTGGAGAATACTGTATCCCATGCTCAACAGAACTCTGTTACAGTTGATGAAAGTGCTAGCAAGGCTGAACTTGAAGCCCAAACTTTAAGAGAAGATCTTGCAAATGTAGCAGCTGAAAAAGATGAAGCTCTTAAGAAGTACATGCAATCGCTTGAGATGATAGCAAATCTGGAGAACAAATTGCAGTGTGCTGAAGAAGATGCCAAAAAATTAACTGAGAGAGCTGAAACAGCAGAAAATGAGATTGAATTTCTCAAACAAGAAATCCTAAAATTCACTGGGGAGAAAGAAGCTGCAGCTCTGCAGCTCCAGCAATGCTTGGAAACCATCTCCACTCTAGAGCATAAGCTTTCTTGTGCCAAAGAGGAGGCCCAAAGGTTGAATGCAGAGATCAATAACGGAGTTGCCAAGTTAGAAGATGCAGAAGAGCGCTGCCTTTTGTTAGAAAAATCCAATAAATCTCTTCATTCTGAGCTGGAATCTCTGACACTGAAGATGGGTGTGCAAAATCAAGAGCTTACAGAAAAGCAGAAGGAACTGGGAACGTTGTGGACTTGTGTACAAGAAGAACGTTTGCGTTTTGTTGAGGCTGAGACTGCTTTCCAAACTCTGCAGCATCTTCATGCCAAAGCTCAGGAAGAAATGAGGGCTCTTGCTCCAGAGCTTCAGAATCGGTTACAGGTGTTGAAGGACTTAGAAACGCATAATCAAACATTGCTGGGTGAAGTCCAGAAGGTTAAAGAGGAGAACAAGAGCCTCGGTGAAATAAATGTATCTTCAGCTCTATCCATGAGGGATATGCAAAATGAGATATCCAGCTTAAGTGAAGCGAAGGGTAAACTCGAGCTAGAGGTTGAGCTTCGAATGGATCAAAGAAATGCTCTTCAGCAAGAAATCTACTGCCTTAAGGAAGAACTTAATGATCATAACAAGAAACTATTATCTATTGTGACACAGGTGCAGGCAGTGGGCCTTGATCCAGAATGCTTTGAATCATCTGTAAAGGAGCTGCAACATGAAAAGTCAAATCTTGGAGAAACCTGTGAGAGGGAAAGAAGTGAAAAAATAGCTCTTCTGGAGAAGCTACAAGTGTTCGAAGAGCTTCTTGAGAAAAACTCCATTCTGGAAAACTCTCTGTCAGATTTGAGTGCTGAACTAGAAGCTGTGAGAGGCAGTTTAAAGGAATTAGAAGACTCTTGTCAATCTCTTCTACAGGAGAAATCTGCACTTCTGAATGACAAAGTTACTTTAACTAGTGAGCTACAGGTAACAATTGAGAATCTGGAAGAAGTCTCAGCTAAGAATACTGTTCTGGAAAATTCCCTTTCTGATGCTCATGTGGAACTTCAAAGCTTAAAGGTAAAATCAAAGAGCTTAGAGGAATCATGTGAAGTACTAGTCAAAGAGAAAGCAGATCTTGGTCGTGAAAAGGAAAATCTATTTTCTCAGTTGCAAGCTGCACAAATTGCACTGCATGATCTAGTGGGGAAGTATTCAGGACTGGAACAAAGACATTCAACCTTGGAGAAAGAGAATGAATTGACACTTCGTGCATTTGAAGAACTGAGGGTTTCTTTGGATGCAAAAAACTGTGAACATGAGAGTTTTGTCCACACGACTGGGGTACGGTTGGCTGGTATGAAATCAGAAATTCATGTTTTGCAGGAAGAATGTGAATTAAGAAAGCAAGATTTTGATAAGCTTCTAGAAAAAGCTATTGAGTCTGACATTCTCAACATCACCTTACAGACATCATCCCAAGATCTTGAAGGAAAGGGCTCTTCTTTGCTGGGTGAGTATCAGAAGCTTTTTGAAGCATCTACATTTTTTAAAACTTTAATTTCTGATTTAAAGCAGAAGAATGTTGAACAAAAAATGGAAATGACATCCTTGTTTGATCAAGTTAGTATTCTGAGAAATGGGATATTCAAGTTGCTGAAGGCTCTTGATATTGTTCCAAACCATGCATGTCAGGACAGGAAAGACCAAGTACATCTTGACCATATTTTTCATAGAGTTGAAGCTTCTAAAGAATCCTTCGACAAAACTGAGGAAGAAAATCATCAGAGGGCTATTCAGATGAATGTTCTTGTCACATTGCTGGAGCAGATAAAATTAGAGGTGGAGGCTCTTGATGCTGAAAAAACAATTATTAGCCAAGAGTTGAATTTCAAATCGGAGCAATTATTGGCATTGCAGAGTGAAGCCGCTGCACTCAAGGAGGTTAGTGAAGAACTGAAATTGAAAATAATGGAGACAGGTCATAAAGGGGAACTTCTAGAAATTGAAAATTGTAACCTGGCAAAAGCATTACAGTTGGCAGAAGATGAGTTGAAGACTGTTAAAGGTATGATGCATCAGCTCAATTTTCAAGTAGTTGCTAGCAAAAATCTGATGTCTGAAAAGGACGCTGAGCTTCAAAGAATGGAACAGAAGCTTTATCTTAGTGAAACTGAGAAAGCTGTGTTGCATCAAATTTTGATGAACGAAGTCGCTGCACTCAAAGAGGGTAGTGAAGAACTGAAATTGAAAATAAGGGAGAAAGATCACAGAGGGGAACTGCTAGTAATTGAAAATTGTGACCTAGCAAAAGCATTGCAGTTGACAGAGGATGAGTTGAAGACGCTTAAAAGTATGACTGATCAGCTCAATGTTCAAGTAAACGTTGGCAAGAATCTGTTGTCTGAGAAGGACACTGAGCTTCAGGGAATGGAACAGAAGCTTTATCTTACTGAAACTGAGAAAGCTGTGTTGCATCAAATTTTGATGAATGAAGTCGCTGCACTCAAAGAGGGTAGTGAAGAACTGAAATTGATAATAAGGGAGAAAGATCACAGAGGAGAACTGCTAGAAATTGAAAACTGTGACCTAGCAAAAGCATTGCACTTGGCAGAGGATGAGTTGAAGACTCTTAAAAGTATGATGGATCAGCTCAGTCTTCAAGTAAATGTTGGCAAAAATCTGTTGTCTGAGAAGGACACTGAGCTTCAGGGAACGGAACAGAAGCTTTATCTTACTGAAACTGAGAAAGCTGTGTTGCATCAAATTTTGATGAATGAAGTCGCTGCACTCAAAGAGGGTAGTGAAGAACTGAAATTGAAAATAAGGGAGAAAGATCACAGAGGGGAACTGCTAGAAATTGAAAATTGTAACCTGGCAAAAGCATTGCAGTTGGCAGAAGATGAGTTGAAGACTGTTAAAAGTATGACGGATCAGCTCAATCTTCAAGTAAATGTTGGCAAAAATCTGTTGTCTGAGAAGGACACTGAGCTTCAGGGAATGGAACAAAAGCTTTATCTTACTGAAACTGAGAAAGCTGTATTGCATCAAATTTTTAAGAACTTGAGCAGAGAACTTATTGGGAGTAAAATAATTATGGAGGACCAAGAAAAGAAGATCCTAAAGTTGTGTGCTGACAGAAACCAACTGCGCACAGAAAACATGCACCTCTTTGAGGCCAGTCTGCTATTGCAGGAAGGGCTTCAGCAATCGCGTGGTGAGCTTGAAAAGCTAAAGATGCAAGAGGAAGCATTGCACTCTGAGCTCCAGAAGCAATTGAATGAGACTGAGACATGGAAGTTAGAGATGGATGTGCTTTTAGGTGAGTTGCAGGTCTCGATGTTCTACCATATCCTTTACGAGCAGAAGATTCATGAGCTTGCAGAAGCATGTCAAAGCTTTGATGTCCAAATCAATTCAAAGGATAAGAACATTAAGCTTCTGAAAGAAAAAGTGCTCACTTTGAGTACTGAAAATGAAGACCTTAACACTCAGTTAGCTGCATATAGACCTGCAATCTTTTCTTTGAGCCAATGCATATCATCCCTAGAGAAGCATTCCTATTTGCATGGGAAACCCAAAAGGCCTGATAATGAGGACACGAAGGTAACTGCTTCTGCACTAATGTCCCCTGCTTGGCTTCTTTTAGATGGTCTAAAATAAGTAAACTATCATATTAAAAAACTTTTTGAAATTAATTTTGTCCTTTAAAATGCTAATTGGCTACTGACATGTGATATGTATAATGTATGTGTGTGTCTGTATTATATGCCACAAGTTGTTCCTCAATTGTAGAAAGATACATTCTCAATTGTATTGCATGAATTTATTTTTATTGTTGTATCATCTTTTATCCTCTCCAATCGTGTGGTGAGTTGCAATGGTACTCTCGTCACCATGGCCCAGGTGTTTTTCTCCATCTTGCATTTTCCTCCCAAATCATGTTGCATCCTGTCTAGGTTGCCTTAGATTACTTTCTTTAAGAAGTCTTAGGTTTGTTGGTTTCAGACATCGTACTTCTAACAATGACGTGAACACATCTTAAGAGCCTGCTAATTTTCATAGACACATCAACTAATATGTGATTGACCTCAAGATTTGGCATGCACAGTATGATGACCAGAATTAGTTCTTTTTTTCTAGGATTTAGTGACAAGAAGCTTGATTTCCCCAAGTGATGCTAAATATCAGAGTGTAGGGTAAAATGCCAGACACATTGTAAACATTTGTGTACAAAAGTGGACCCATGAATGATGCGCCTGCAATATGAATTTTAGAGAAATTAGATCAATGCTAACTTAGCACTGTATTCTAAAGGTTATTTTGAAGAATTTAGGCCTTATCAATATGAACAAATTAAGGTTTTCCTTTTTCCTTGTATATGTGAGATAAAGATTATCATCTTGGCTTATTGTCAGGACATTGTAGTAGCTCATACAGATGACAGCACTCGTTTGAAAGACAATGAAAATGCAGTGGCAACCGATGCATTTTTTGATCTGCATGGATTGGAAATAAGGGTTCGAGCTGTTGAGAAGACATTGGTTGAAATGGAGCAGCTTGTGGTGAAGGAAAATGTGAACATGCATAGCAAACTTCAGGCGGCGATGCTACAGATTGAGGAGTTAAAGTCAGAGAGCAGCCGGCATAGAAGAAATTCAGCTCCTAAATCTGAAATCTTTGAGGCAGAAAATGGAATCCTCACCAAGGACATCATGCTTGACCGTGTATCTGAGTCTTCATCCTACAGAAATGGCAGGAGAGAGCAGGCTGAGTCGAATAATCTAGTTTTTGACCTATGGGATACTACCAGTCCTACTGTTAGTAAAGCAAAGTTGGATGATACTCCAAATGCTGATAATGATATCGATTTCCATAAACGTGTTATATCAGTGAAGAAAAAGTGTCAACATTCTACCTCAGATGTGCTAGATGAGAAGTACCCAGGTGAGGGCAAACTGAACATCTCAAAGAGATCAACGGAGTCCATTCAAGAGGGAAACAAGAGGAGGGTCTTACAGAGGCTTGATTCTGATGTGCAGAAATTAACTAACCTTCAGATCACAGTAGTAGACCTGAAGAGGGAACTTGAGATAACTGAGAAGGGAAAAAGGGGTAAAGCTGTAGCTGAGTCAGACACTCTCAAAGGACAGCTAAATGAAGCTGAGGCTGCTATTCACAAGTTATTTGATCTTACTGGTAAGTTGATGAAGAACATGGAAGACACCTTTGGTTCTGCTGATATGAAATCTGCACTGGAGTCTGAAGAGGTTGGAAATGTTAGTAGGAGGAGATATTCAGAACAGGCACGGGGAATATCCGAGAAAATTGGGCGACTGCAATTAGAAGTTCAGAAGTTGCAGTTTGTTTTACTGAAACTCAACGATGAAAGCAAAGGAAATAGCAGTAGGATCCCAGAGACAAAAAGAAGGGTTCTACTGCGAGATTATCTCTATGGCGGGGTTAGGAAAAGCAACAACAAGCGAAAGAAAGCACCATTTTGTGCATGCATCCAGCCTCCAACTCAGGGAGATTGAAGTTTTAAATAAGGTGTGCAGTTTACATATGTTAGTTTAACTAGTTTATAGTTCATTTGTGTCCATATTACTTTTATAGTTTCGGTATGAATACATTCAGAACCTTAGCTTCTTGGAGAGAATTTGTTGTATATCCGCGTCCAGCTAAAAGATGCAGCCTTCTTATTTACTAATGTTTTCGTGTTTGCTCCAAGCTTGTCTCAAATAATTGGGTTGTCCCTGTACATATTTCTTCAACCTCTGTTACTTTTGAACATGGATTTTGATATTGGTCTCATGTTAGTTATTTCGATGATTATTATCTTTTATCTATTGTTATATTTCTTAGGTAACCTGACTTGTCAAAAAAAAGTTAGTTCTTCAGAAACATGATACTATAAATATTTTCTTTCATAGCAAGTGTATAAAAGTTGCTCCTTTTATTAAATTTCTGTTCATATGTTCTGTTTCGAACATATAATTTGGCCAACAACTCAAAGCTCAAATTAAGCAAATAGGTTACACAGCCTCATTATACTTAAAAGTCGATAGATGCATCGCCATGTAATTAAAGTATATATACAGATGAAATAACATGAACGTTGAAATTAAAGAGTTGTCAAACGTTATTGCTGAATGGAGCATCCATGCCGGATTTTGGTTTACAAGAGTGAAGCATGTAGTTGCATGATTCCACAGCTTCCCCAACAGTTAGAAATATCCATTCTTGTCCTAATGTCTCTAGGAATTTGGATTTGTTCAATTTCTTCATTACTTCTGCACCTGGATTTGCCAATACAAGCTGCAATAATCCAACAAAAAAATCACACAATATATTATACTTGTGTTACATATATAGTTGAGTCCAGCCTCAAAACGAACATTTTAGGGAGGGTCCCTTTTGATACGGTGTGTCCAAAAAAAAGTATCTGTTTTGAGGTCGGACTGATATAGTTAGCATTTCATAAATTGAAAAAGATTTGTGAAAAGAGGGTAACCTTGAGATCTCTTCTATCAAGATTTCTCTTGACTTCTTCTAGCATACTAATTCCGCTAGTATCAATGTTGCCTACAGCTGCAAATGCATCATATAACGAATATTAAAACAAGTTTAAGTTTCGTTATAACATATAATAATAACTCTTCGTATCAAGCATGATATAGTAACTCATAAAATAGAATGAAAAAACTCTACTATAGCTAACAAGTCACAGTAAGTTTTGAACACTAAATGCATAATGTAATCCTTTTAGCATGTCCTAATTGTTTCATTTCTACTCGGATTAGAAATTTTCAAACTTCAACATTTGACTTTTTTTTTGTTTCCCATCCTGATCAATTTAATTTGTTCTAGAACATTTTTTACTAGAGTCTTTTTAGTCTCAACATTCGACCTGAAACGTTTGGTTAAGGGTGATGGGATTCTATATATCCTACCGCAACGTTTAATGGTCAAACTTCAAAATCATAAATAAAACTATGAGAAGTTAATTTACCTCCCATGTCAAGTATAACATATTGTAATGTCTCCCCTGAAGATTTTAACTTGTCTTCCTCATCGTCAATCCACCTTGAAATCCTATAAAAAGAAAAGTATCATTCTTTTTTAAACAGACTAAAAAAGAAAGCAAATCGTTTTTTTTTAAACGAGGAAGTAGTAGATAATTGAAAAGTTTAAAATTAATTACCTCTCTCTTAAGTAGCTAGCATTTGTAAAGTAAATGGGTGCACCAAGGTCAAGTATGAGAACCCCAACAATAATGTCTGTATTAGGATATTGTTCAACATTTCTATAAATATTAGAATCTGGAATGTTACCAAGTACTAGTGTTCTTGGCCTTGCTACATAGAGTAACACTCTTAACAAAGATAAAGCAACCTGCATTTGATTTTAAAACATAACGTAATTAACTAACCATTAATTGGAAATGGTAAAAAATGATGATTAATTTGTTATAACATGTTAAACATATAGCTGACATTTATGCCTTCTAACTGCACGTGTGCACAAATAGACACTTAAATTTGTATAAAATTAAATAAATAGACACACACATCCTACCTGACATAATACATGCAAGAAGTACACAAAGTTATCTATTTGTTCAATTTTATTCAAGTTTAAGTGTCTAGCTACTTGTGCACACCCAAAATCAAAGGACATGTTTATATATATGTTGATACTGTAAAAACATTCACTCTCAGTAAATATAATTACTTATATGCACTGACATTATATGTAATTTTACCATGTAACAACATGTTCTCTGTTTTGTTGTCCAAAGAACTAGTTTCATTTATTATTATTATATAAATAAATAAATAAATATCGTTTTGATCTATTAAAATGAAGGTAAAAAGGGATACGTACAGCAATGACTAAGCCAATTTCGACGCTGGCAAATACAACGCCAAAATAGGCACTCATGCAGACCAAGAAATCGAATTTATCGACATGCCATAGATGAATTGCAGCATTATAGTCAATGAGTCCAAGCATGGCTGAAACAATTATGGAAGATAAAACCACTAATGGAGTGTAGTGGAACAATGGAGTTAGCACCAATAGTGTAACCATCACCGCTACAGCCATAACTATGTTTGATACTGCTGTTTTACATCCTGCGTTGAAATTCACCGCCGATCGCGAAAATGGACCTATAATAATTTCATTTTCAACTTATCACATATTCAGATCTTCAAATCTACATAGCCATAAAATAATGACACGGAAATATAATGATTTTAAGCGTTGCAACTGTTAGAAGCTGACGATTGAAACATGTCAAAGGAACAGGTCCAATGCATCTGATTGACGAGTTTATAACATTGATATAGAATTAAAAGCCGTACTAAAATTAGGCTACTTATATTAATTAGGATTATATTGTTATAAAATTGATTTTTGTAACTTAAGTATTACATGAATTAAGTTTAGATTTTGGTTAGTACTATTGGAGAGATTAGCCCTTCATCAGCACCTAACTTTTTTTTTTTTTATCACATTGTTATTATGTTATAAAGTAGATTTCTTTTTTCTTGTCTCTTTCTGCATTTATTTGCTACTCTCATGTGTGTCTGACTGGTGTTTTGGACATCATGGTCCACACAATCACATGCTGATATATTAGCACATTGCGTTGTTGTTTGATAGCTGATTTAGATAAGCTATTAAATTATATCTAAATAATAGCATGTTTGATAGTTTGTTAGGTGAAAAATTATATTGGTGTATAAGGTTAATGAGTACGTATTTTTCAAAAAAGTATACTGTTCGATTAGCAATTTAAAAACAAACATAATTAATAATGAGAAAATTTATGTATGATTTTATACAAAATATACAATATGAAATATTTACTGATAAATACATAACTCTAACCAGTGATACGAAGCGATGATCTTATATTATTTTGGGTAAAAGGAGGTTTAATGCAATAAAAAAAGGTTAGGGAATTACCAGTAGTGAGGTAGCAAGAAGTGCAAGAGCCAACAATGTTCATCATACCAAAAGCAATCATTTCTTTATTTCCATCTATATTATAGTTCTTGTACATTGCAAAACTTCTTCCCACTGCTATTCCTTCCTGTTTCATCAAAAAAATTTAATTTTATAAATATATATATATATATTTATTGTCATGAGATCATGACGAGTCTTAGATAATACTTAATTCATTTTCAAACATAGTCAATACCAACACGTATACAAGATCTTTTTGGTAACTATCGTTGAAAAGTCATCGAATCTTATGTTAATATATCACTCTAAACAAATAATAATTTTTAGCTACAATAAATATGTATATAATAATAAAAGTAATATTAAAGCATTTATTGATATTAGTATTATATATAGTCATTAAACTTAATGATCCTAAAGAATTGAATTATTATTATTAATTAATTATTATTAAAAATCATTTTTAGTATAGTAATACTATGTAGTATGAATTGACTATGGAATTCTTTTAGTCCGGTACTTAATAACTCTTTTACATGATATAAGCATTTAGTCAACATGTTTATTATCTATGTTGTTCGAATTTTTATAATTAATATCAATATAACATAAATTAACACGAACGTAACAATAATTTTTTAAAAATATTCCAACAAATAATGGAAAATAAGTAGGTGGAAAATGAGGACAAAAATAAATAAAACGTAAAAAGCTTACAGCAAGAGAAATGACACCCGTGACTATGCCAGTTTTTATAGCAATAGAGAGATAAGGAGCTCCAAATGACAAATCTGTTATCGATATTGGATTTAACCCTTTTTTCAGCTCCCCTATCTGTTTAATACGTAAACATAAATGTCAGTTGAAATCAAATTAAACAATAATTTATATATATCACGTTTTAATTTTATTCGCGTATTATATATATTTTTATAATAATAACAATATTTTTAATCAAGTCGTCAAAAAGAAAAATAAGTCATACCAAATAATACTTAGATGGATTCTCTAATACATTGAGTTCTTAATTACCATAATATATTTCAACAAATATGAATCATCGTCTACAATAATTCAAATTTCGTCCAATCTCATTTTTATTTAATGTTAAAAAATTACTAACTTCTAGGAATTAAGAAGGGTCATTCATTACGAAAAGACTTTTCTCTGAATGAATATGTGGAAATACGTTCTACGAAGGAAGAGATTGAGTTAGGAGCATTTTCGAAAACATGATTAGTCATCATTAATTAGAAATGTCTATTTCAAAATGCCTAAAGATAATGGCAGCAACGACTCAATCAACAACAATTATATATATATATATATGTTGGGCCCAGGGGTGGAGCTATCTCGAACAAAGGGTATTCTTCATCAGATAATTATATATAGGTTAAAATTTAGTTATATATATATATGAGTTGACACCACTTGATACAAATTGAAAATATAACGTAAATAGTTAAGGAGTTATAAAAATTGTTTAAGGCTGTGTGTTGTATAAATCATATTATTTTATAGTTTATATTTTGATAAAACTTAATAAAAATTTTGGATCGATCACTAATCAGTTAGGCTAGTGTCCTTTTAAACATTTAATGAGTCAATAATTATAACATTGGTAGGTCGTGGATTTCCAACCAACGTGTGCAATACTAAAACCATAAGAATAACAATGCAATTTCAACACTCAAACACAATAATCCAAATACTACCAGAAACAATATCACATCAAACCCCAAGTTCAATCATAGTGTGTTGGTGTGACATCATAGTGTTTATGTTGTAAAAAGAAAATAGTATAATAGCTAATCATAGTAGTTCATTAGTCAAATTGATCATCATTA